TTTCCCAAAATTTCAAAGACATATAACACTCCATTCCGCAGCCAGAATTCAGCAATGAAACATTGGAAACAAATACACATCATTAACATATCACATTTCACTAACTTCACATTAACACATCTCAAGGCAGTAGATATTATCTCAATGCAGTACATATTATCTTCACATTAACACATGATCATCAATACATTTCACCATAAATATGCATGCTTCCCAAAATTTCAAAGACCTGTAACACTCTATTACTAGCAGCCGGAATTTAAAAATCAAACCTTGAAACCAATTGATATCACAAAGTTACTCAACACATGATAAAATAATCTAATGAAAAATTTATAGAGCCTATAAAAATTTGGGCAAAGTTTCCCCTGTTTTTCCAACTTTTCCCAAAATTTCAAAGACCTATAACACTTCATTCCCAGTAGCCAAAACATACAACGTACCACATTTCACCAACTTCACCTCAAAACATCTCAAGGCAATATCTATTATCTCAAGGCAGTACATATTATCTTCACATTAACACATGATCAGCAATACAATTCACCAACTTTACCAACTTCAGAATTACAATTAAGTCTCACTAATTCAAAGGCATTTACATACCAACTCACCAAAGAAAAAACTAACTATAAGATAGAAGTGGTCATAATATGCTTAGCACAATCTTCTCTCACTTCATCGAGTTGGGCAATGGTGTAATACGTGCATTTGTGATCTGAAAAAGTACTACATAACATATATATTAAATTCAATAATTAACTTCATTAATTAATATTTACATATATGCATTAATACAATAGTAAATTACTTGTGATGGTATTGCAGTTTGATTTTGTGTGATGATTTCTTTCATAAAACACATAACACATAGACAACAATTATCATCATTGGTTTGACGAGGACACTATAATAAGAAAACCATAAAATAAAATCACTAAGTTGATAAGCCACTAGCAAACACATTTATTGAATTAAAAAATAACTTTATGCAGGTCCATGTAGCTTATTAAACCGACCCCTTGAAATGTTTTTTTTCCTTGTTGGTCCGATAAATCTTTAAGGCACTATAATTAAACAAATAAACAATGTGAATACTATTGATAATGAAACTCATTTTGAAATTAGCAAGTTATTAGAAATACTTACTTATTAAATATTTTCTTTAAGTCTTTATAGTTCTTGGGGTTATTACCTAACGAGTCCAGAAAGTATACATTCCCCATTTTAAATTGATCGCTAATAGGACCCAATGATTACTACAAGCCCATTTTAAGACATGTAAGACATGATATCATTGAAAATAGAATAGTGATGACAAATCAATTAATATAAGATTCACTTACCCAACATTAGGTAATAGAAACAACTTATCTTCCCCACGTAAAGATTTCTCAATGAAAATATCTACAACATATTTCGGATTATCAAATGATAGTGTTGCAGTCCCTTGTGGAGATATGAAAATAAATCTTTTTGTGGAGTCAGATGGCACTAGCAACACCTTGTACAGATAACTTACCACAAAAGATATAAAGATATCAATTATACACAAATGATATAAACACATATTATCAAATGATAGTTATAAATCTAATAAATACCTGCAAAAGGTGGTTATAATAGTGGTATCTAACCACCCATAAAAAAGGAGAGCATGAACACAAGAAGCATTTATAAACTCCTTAGCTTTATCATCACCAAATACATCTTTGTATGTAATAACATCATTGTTCGATTTCAACCTCATATCGTAGTACATATCCAAGAAATGCAAATATGAGGATCCTCCACTAATAGGTTGTGGAGCGACAATCGGTGCAGGGGTCTCATGAACAGGAGACTTATGCACAACAGATTCCTTTGAAAGATGTGACTGCTTCAGTCTCTCTTTGGACGGCCCGGGAGTCTAAAATTAAACAAATTTGTGATTTAACTAAGTTGTGAAATAAACTATTAACTACTTATAATATTATATAACACTTTCAACGTACCTTGGTATCCAAACCAATCATACCAGTTGGCCATGCCATAAAAGCTCCTACAGCTTCTCCAACTGTAATTAATTATGCATACTCAATAGGGCATTAAGTTATTAGAGATACTTACTTATTAAGCGGAGCTTCTGGTTCAATAGCAATTTGAACCATAACTTTCAGATGCTTTGGGGCAAGTGGACAAGTGTGTAGTGTTTGATCCGGTATATTATGTGCTTCTCCCTTCCCAACAACCCATTTTGCAGACTCTTCGAGGTACATAATACAATGAAATCTTCCCTAAACCAATAATGAACAATGCGACAAGTTAGTATTGTAAGGTCCAAGAATCTCTTTAAGATGTTTTCATAATGACAAATTATCAAAATATACTTACCATAATTCTGAGTATATGGACTAATGATTCAAATTGAGTTGGTTAAAAAAGAAATAGGAAAAATAGATCCACTACAGTAAGCATATCAGAAGAAACAAAGGATGTTTCAGATTCTGTTTCAAGTAAATCAAGCAAGAAGAAACAAGTCATTTAAGAATATCACCTTGCAATAGAGAAAAGAAAGAATTAAGTAAGGTGAAAGCAAGAAAGCTGTTGAGAAGAATCAGAAGAAGATATCTCTAAAAAAACTTCAGAAGAAACAATCTGTCAGGAAGCTCTCAGAAGATACACTCAAGTCTGCAAAACTCAAAATCTTCAGAACATCTTCTAACCTCCTAAGTTATTTAGTTATAAGAAGAAAGCTCTCTGATAAAACAAAGAGCTAATGTTGTTGTTACTACAGTCATACTTCTAGAAGAAAAGCCCTTAACAGTAACATCAGAAGAAGCAAAATCTGATTCAAATAGATTATTTAAAAACTTACTGGGTATGCTCCTCATCTAAAATAATTACATGAAGAACCAGTAATTATTTCACAAAATCAAAGTACAAATCAAAATGGAAATAAACTACTAAATGAGTTTCCTGTTGGAGAAGATACAAGCTTCAGAAGATGTGCTCATAAGAAGAAAGGACCAGTCAAACCAAGGAAAGAGAAAAAGCTGCACATGATAGTGACAGCTGCTGCACTTCCAGCTGGTTGATTGACTTTCTCTCCAAGGCATTTCCAACGGCTATATTCCTTTTCCTTGGCTATAAAAAGAAGCTTTCTCCTCCATTTTTTTCACACAGCTAAACAAGCAGAAGAAGCACCAAAAAGTTACAATTATACCTTATGCAAAATTTTCACTTTCTACAAATCACTTTTTTCTGAATTGAAATAGTTAGGAAAGTGAGGAAAAGTGTGTGTTGGCTCAAGTATTTTAATTGTGTACTAATTTATTGTAAACTTTGAGCCTTTACTCTTTGTATTTTTATCACACAACTTTGTAACTCTCAAAGGAGGTGAATTCATTTGAGAGATGGTTAGGTTAAGTCTGCAAGAGTAAGGTGTGCCCTGCTATTTGCAGATATCTATTGTAAGAGCCTGCAGAGCCTGCAGAAGAATACTGGGTGAGCTTGAAGAGGCTGCAGAAGAATACTAGTGGCGAGGAGCACCCAAGAAGTCATTGTATCAAGGTTGATATAGTGGAAAATCCTACTGGGAGTAGGAACTGGACGTAGCCTTAAGGTTAAGAGGTGAACCGGTATAAATACTGTGTGAAATCTTCTTCTACCTTAACCTTTTTTTACTGTTGTTGCTGTATTCATATTACAACTGTTATATCATTTGCAATCAAAAGGAACCATATTTTCTGCATATTATAAATATATTATGAGAATTAACCCTTGAACTTCTAATATTAGACAAGTATTTAACTTGAGCAGAAATAAATATTAGAAGAAAAGTGCAGAAATTTTTAAGAGATCACAATTCAACCCCCCTTCTTGTGATTACTATATTTACTTCAAGTATGTATATGCAATATTATATATTATACCATGGGAGTACAATACTTGGTAAATAATGAAATGTACAAATATCTCAGGTAAGTGGCATTGTGGAAAAGAATTAGAACTTTTAGCACTGGTGGGACAATTATCTTGATTTTTCTTTGCCTCTTTCTTCTCAGTAAGTTGTGCCTCCAGATATGCCACTCTATCCAACACCCCCTTCATGGATTTTTGAAGTAGTTCTTCAAATGCTCTTTTGTATGCCGACTTTGTATTGTAGCGTAACGGTAATGCTCCTTCTTTGTATTGTGCAGGTTGTGGGTTCGATTCTCACAATTGATAAATATGGGAAGGAAGGATTATTTTTGAAAAAAAAAATTAGCGACGGCCATGGTCGTCGCTATTTAGTGACGGCCATGGGTGTCGCTAGCCAGCCATGGTCGTCGCTATGTAGTGATGGCCATAGAATTAGCGACGACCATAAACGACGGTCAGGCCATCGCTAAATAGCGTCGGCCATAAAATATCGTCGCTATTACATTAACGATGAGGCTTTTAGCGACGGCCACTGGCCGTCGCAAAAGCAGTCACTAATTATGAAATAGCGACGGTTTTTCCCCTGTAACGACGACTTTTGGCCGTTGCTAAAAATCAATTTTCTTGTAGTGTCTCACTTGAGCGAGAATGCGCATCTGGCTGAGAATATTCCTTCTCGCTCAAGCAAGCAAATCCTCGCTTGAGCGAGAGTGCGCGAGCAGCTTTTAATGTTGTTTCTTTTAGGGTTTGCCTCATTTATTTTCTTCACCCGCTTTTTAGAGAGAGATAGAGAGAGGGGGGAAGAAGAGCTTGATTGGAGGCCCCCACAGCATTCAAGGAGCTTGGAATCATCATCTTCATCCCTTCATCCTTCCTATCAGTGTTCTCAGAACCGGACCGGACCGGCCGGTCCAGCCGGTTCAACCGGGAACCGGACCCATGGCCGGTCCGGTAAGCCTATTGGACTGGGTATGCTAGCAAACCGGTCATGACGTCATCAACCCGGTCATGAACCGGTACAACCGGCCCAAACCGGGCGGGTCACGGGCTGAATGCGCGTTTCCTCCCACTTTAGTGATTTCTGAAATTAGCAAAAGTGTCTCGCTGGGAGTTGAACCCAGGTCCTTGCAATTCAGGGAAATGCTCCAGCCACTGAGCCATGTGACGCCTTTATACAATATGTGCATAAGTTTTATATAAAGTGTCTTCTAAACACCAACATCTTACTTTCAAATTGTTCCTTTCATTTTACACAATGAAATATATTTGCTCAAAAAAATATATATAATACAAAACGTGCTTTCTTTTTATTTATAAAGACATCTAATATATTTTTATATATATTTTTTTAATTTTTATTTAACTTATAATTTTTATATTTCAATGTTAATTTTATCATTTAATATATTATCTAATATTAAAAATAAAATATTTAATTAGTTCCGGTTGGACCACGGTTCAACCCCGGTTGGACCACGGTTCAACCCCGGTTGAACCAATGAACCGTGAACCAGTGCCTTCACCGGTTTAATGATCGGTTCGGTTTTTAAAACATTGCTTCCTATTTTCCTTGCTTGAGATAAATGTGGTTCACCCACTCACTCCATTCTTGTGTGTTCTTTTAAATGATCCACCTCCAATCTTCCTCTTCATTGTTTGTGTTTGCATATTGAGTAAAATGTTTATTAACTGGATGGTCGAATGGATTAGGTGTGTTAGGACCGTAACTCAGAGTTCGGAGTGCCTGCCCTTCCAGTCTCTGAGTGGGGTAGCAAGGGTAGTGACTTCCTCAAGGGAATCGTTCTTGACACCAACCAAGGGTAGAGAATCAGCGTTTATTACTCATTTTTCCGTTGCACCCTAGTATTTTTCTGTACCCCTACGACTCGACGCTATGGCATTGTGCCTAGCTTCAACTTCCTGAACATTAGTCTATTCCAGTCAGTGAATCACGTGTCATTCTTTCCAACATTCATTCATTTTCCACTTCACCCTGTTTGGTGCATGACTAACCCGCTGAACTCGGAGGTCAAATCACGTTTTTACCCACCACTTATCCTCACAACCTTCATGTTCCGTGACTCATTGTTGCACCGAAAGCCTATATCCTTTAGTTCCCATTCTGAATGCCTCGTAACAGATGAGATTGGATTAGGTCAGAAAACCTTAAGACATGGTTTAGCCGGGTAGAGGTCACAGAGTACTTGTGTTACAGAATATGTGACGTTTCACGCGAGAACCCAGAGTCGGGTCTATTAGGGAAACTGTAGCAGGAGGAGGATAGGAACACTAAACTAGCATTGAACCATAAGGGACCTACGAGGATGAAGTAGAGAGTTCGAGGGTAATTGGAGCATTTGAGTGTAATTAGAGCAAATTTTGAGGACAAAATTTATTTAAGAGGGGTAGAATTGTAACATCCAGGAAATTAGAATTTAGAAATATCGTGGAAGCCTTAGGCTATGAATCCCACCGCAAGAAGGGAGGTTAGAAGTAAAATGAGGAGTTAGGGGTTTGAAGGGAAAATAAGACCAGAGTTAGGGAATTGGTTAAGAGTTGTGAATTTAAGGGAATCGAGAAGGGGAAAAACCAAGTATTAAGCCAAACATGATTGTAGAGTTAACTGAGGAGGAGTCACACCCGGTGGTGGAAAGGCTAGCATGGTGAAGAGGTGAGGAAGGAAGTAGAGACATTGGAACTAGGGAATTAGATTTAGACGGAAGGAACTAAGCTTAAACGAACTGGCGGAAAGGAAGAGGAGAGGCGTAGACTCAAGGAACCAGGGAAGAAAGGTGATTTTATGGAAAGGAACAAGGTATTAGAGAAGCATAGTCTCATAGACGCTTAGAACCCTTAACATTAGCCTTATTGAACTGAATGGATGGATTACATCATGGTTCATATGAAGTGTGCCCCGTTGGGCTTCAATCAAGGTTGTTGCTTAATTTTGGGTTTTAAGCCTAATGACCTTGGTGCACTAATTCAATAATATCTAGAGTTGTAGGTGTTCAATTGAGGTGTTTCCACTTGCATTAGAGTGCTAAGATCCAAGACTTCAGTTTGATATATAGTACGATAGTATTCTGATCTTTTTTGCACCTCCAAACAGGCTTATTCTCGCTTAAGCGAGAAAGCTCTCGCTTGAGCAAGGAAATCAACAGAAAGCAGGGTGTTTCTGTTTGATAATTTCGCTCAGGCTCGCTTGAGCGCACCTGCGCGAGAGTATCAGGTAGAAAAGGGGTGTTTCTGTTTGGAAATTTCGCCAAGGCTCGCTTGAGCGCGCCTGAGCGAGGACGTTAGTAGAAATGGGGGAATTCTACTCTGGTTTTCTCGCCCAGGCTCGCTTGGGCGAGTCTGAGCGAGAAAACATAGACAAAATAGGCTTTTTGGAATGAAAATTTCACCCGAGCGCGCCTGAGCGAGAGTGCGTTGTCAGCATTTCTTAAAAACGCTAGGGCTCATTTCTTCAACATTTTCTCCCATTTTTACACTTCTAGAGAGAGAAACTCAGAGAGAGAGAGAGAGGGGAGAAGAGAGAGCCACTCCACCACCTCAAGGTCATCAAGGAATCTTGGATCCACCCCTCCATCACCCCATTTCTCCTACTCTTGAGGTGAGTGTGTTTCACCTACTCACTTTCCACACGTGTGAAGTTCCCTAATGATCCCTATTCTCTTTTCCCCTTCCTACTATGCTTGCTTGTCATTGATTGAGGTTAATATAGGGTTTATGTGTGCATTTTCTTTGATTGCTTGAATATTGGCTTAACCCTAGGTTGTAAATGTTAGGGTTTCATGTGATTATTGATTATGAGGTTTCATATGCCAAGAAGTTATCATTTAGCTTATGTGAGCATGTATACATGTCATGAATCATACACTCATGTTTTTGAAAACCCTATTCATGTATAAATGTTTTCATGGGCCTTTGGCCAAGAGGAATTTCATGGGTCTTCGGACCAAAGAGTAAAAGGATAATTTTCATGAGTTTACGGACCAAAGAGGGGTCTTCAGACCAAAGAGGAATAGGAGGAACGAGGTAATCACATTGACCTCTAGGCCAAGGGGTGAATGGGGATCCTCAATTAAAAGGAATTACATACATATTATCCTTGCTTGATAACAAAACTTAAGAGGGTGGCCCTGGACGACGGTCCTTGGTCACATGGCTGAGCGCTCAAAAGACGTAACAATGATAAGACACCCTTAGTGTGGGTTAAACACTAGATTTGCCCCAAAGGGGGATTTTGATTGATTTTCTTACTGTGTTATACATGATTATATGATCAGATGTCTCTAATGGGTGAAATGTTGCATTTCCATTTGTCTGTAATCCCCACATTATATGCATGATCACATTCACTGGGACGTAAGTCTCACCACACGTTTGTGGATTTCGTTTTAGATGTGCAAGTTTCTTTGCTCGGAGGATAAGTCAGATGGCTTGGGGGCTCCAGGTGGGTTGCCCCTCCGGGTTTCCGTGTTTCTTTCCACAGAAGTTATGAGTATATCATGTAGATGTAGGTTGATATTCGTTGGGCAAGATGTAGTATTGTATTCTAGGCCACTAAGTGGTGGTTATACTACAATCTTGAGTTTGTATGTTTATTTCCACTTATGTAAATGTTGGATTATTTAAGCACCTTCTTGTGTTGATTGTATGTTGATATTAATAATGGTGCGAAATAGTTTCATAAACTCAGGGATATGTCTCCAGCGGACATTATTTTTGAGTCCACGAAATTAGGACGTTACACTTCAAGTTACACAAACCATAGAAGTCTAAAGTCTTGCAAGACAAATATGAAATGGTCCAAACAAGAAATACAAATGTCAAACACACTCCTAAACTGTCATTCAAAATACATCAAATTTCCAAAATATATCAAGATTCAATTGTCCTCAATCGTTATTAACAATAGGCGACTCTCGGGTGGAGTTCTCCATCCTTGGTTCCATCTTTGACTCACCCACATCTTCATCTTCATCTTCATGTTTTCCTATAACTCATAATTCATGATATAAGTAAAATAGATAGTTAGATACATTATAGAGATTCAAAACATAATTCAATGCAAGATTTTGTAAAAGGATAACATAACGTTTTACCTTCCACATCAAATTATAGCAACCAATTTCTAGTGCTTATCAAAGCTTGTACATTTTATGGAAGAAGAGAACTTCGGTATTTATTAAGCACGTGGGAGCCAATACTAAATGTCGATTCGGATGCCACAGTTGTAATTTGAATGCTTAAAATGTCACAAGCCACAAATGCAAGAATAGGAAATCTATGCTTATTCTCCTTCCAATATTGCAAGACATCAATATTTCAGGTGGTATTCTACAGAAAGCTTTTACTCTTCCAAATAATTATCCAATTGAGACTTACCCACTTATGACATTTTTAGTCTTATATTGGATAAGATCCTACATTAATTTAAAGTTACATCAAAGAAATAATTAGACACATTGGCATAAAAACTTTAACAAGTAACACGTGAATAAAAAGAAAAAAAAAATAGACTTACATTCTTAATAAGCCATTGGCATGCATCTCCATTGGCATTGCCACTAGTAGTAGTATGTGAGTGTTGGAGTGAAATTTGAGTTTGACTAGGAGTGGTAGTTGTCTCATCAGATGACATTTTAGCATACTCATTAAAAAGAGAATACAACTTGTGCTTCACAATTTTCAACTTTTCTTGACAAGCTATATCATCAAGACCAATCTTTGAATAATAAAACCCCAAAAATCCTAGCTTAAAACGAGGATAAAGGATGGTTGCAAGTGCAACAATCACACTATAATCACTCCAATACTTGTCAAACTTCATTTTCATCCTATTTTCCATATCTCTAATTACCTCATCTTCATTATGCATGTTTTTAGTCAACAAACACTCAATCCTCCACACTTGCATGTAATATAAATTGGATGTTGGACAAGAGGAAATAGACATCAAATTTGTGATCAAATATAATGGATGCAAAAATTATCACACTTTCTCACCTCTTGCCCATTCTTCATTAGTGGGGAAATACTTATAGTTTCTATCATCAAATGAAAGATCCCTAAAAACACGTTTATATGCAAGTGCACTTTAAAGCATCATGAAGGTGGAATTCCACCTACTAGTGACATCCAAACACAAACCAACCTTGGT